GGACCAAACAAAAATAATAAAATAATATTTAATAAAATAATATTTAAATGATTAATAAAGGGGAAATAATTGGTAAAATACATAAAATATATTAAAACACCAAATAAAAATCCTAAAAAAATAGTTCGAGGTCAAACATGAGTCAATAAGTGTTGATAGAAATTTTCAGAATTTTTAAAGTCAGAAACTATTTTTTAAAATTTAAAGAAATAAGAACAATAAACCAAAATTTGTGAAAAATAGTAAAATCAGAAATAAAAATAAAATGAGGTCAGCAATATTTGTCAAGAGGTCATTGGATCCTTCCATAATTTTTTCAGAATTTAAAAATCATGAAAAATATTTTTAAACAATTAAAACAAGTTAAATAAAGTGAAAAATCATAAAAAATATCAAATAAAAAAATAAAAATAAGAAAGAGAAAAATTAAAAGTATTTTTAATAATTTTTTCAGAATTTTTGAAGCTGAAATGAATTTTTTATGAATTTTTGAAGTTTAAAACAAATAAAATATAAAATCAGAAAATAAAAATAAAACCAAAAAGATGTAGACCATTGGATCAATGTCAAAATGCGTTAGTAATCAAATCTAAGGGATCTGGTGCACTGTGCATGATATGGACATTAGTAAATAAACCACCAGATCATTTATTTAAAATAGATTTTTGAAAAAGTGCATGGCGCGACAAGATTGGCTGAAAGGAAGACATGTCGTCGTATTCAACCTCCAACCACGCGTGAATTATAGATTCCATAAATTGTAAAATTAGAAGGTCAACCGGGTGCCATTTTCTTCGTCACTTCAAGACGATTTAACTGGTACCCTTGTGAAAAATCTATATAAACTGTAGCTCAGTCGATTTGAAGAAAACCAGAAGTAAAAAGTTGGAAAGGGATTTGAAAATTCGGGAGTAAAACTCACTTCCAGTTAAAAACTAATGATGCGATCAATATCAGAGTCCATAGAGCTACATTGTAGCAACAAGTTTGGAGAGAATTTATGGAGGAATCTACATGTTCAAGTTCAAATTCAGAGCTATGAAACTTGACATGGCTAGCACGATTCAGGGCACCTCAAGGCTTGGTTCTTCTTTTGTTAGCTTCAGTGAAGTTCGAAGTTGCAGAATTGTGAGTTATGGAGGGAGTTCAAAAGAGGTTCTTTGGTTCTCTAAAGCTTATAAAGTGAAGTAGAGGAGATCTATATTTATAGGAGAATGTGATGCAATACTGAGAGAGGGTGAATGATTAGCAATTGAGTGAAATCCTGTGCACCCTGATCATGATAAAAGTGTGACTTACAAGTTGTCTAAACTCAGCTAACTCTTGCATTTCAATCCTTAATACAGCCTTAGCAACTTGGTTAAACATGTTTAAGTGGAAAGCTTGAACAAAATTGGTGATTAGAGGTCACACTATGGAAATCAAATTCACACTTCAAGAGAAAACTTTAGTTCCATGGTACTGACTTTACAACCATGGTGCAAGAAACTCATGGTCCTTTATAGGATGATTCTTGAAGCATTTGAAATATCTCACCACAAACTTAACAATGTGATAAGAAAGAAATCATTTGGATGATTGAGCTGAGAGTTATGATGAATTCAATTTGTGAAAAACACACAGATTTTTGTATTTAGAAAAATTTCTAAGTGTTGAACTTCAAAGTGACCTATAATGTTCTTCAAAATTAAATGACTTTATACTTGAAATTTAATCTTGATTTTTGAATATGGAATGAATTAGACTTCTTGAATTAAACTTTGGAATTGAGATCACTCAAAAATCATAAAAATTGAAAGAGTTATGGTCTTTAGAAGATGATGAACAAATTTGGGGAAATTCACAAAAGACGTATAATCTTTTCAATTCTTCAAGCACTTTCCAAGAATCTCCACGTCTTGAACATAAAAACATAGTTGTAGTAGACATCCCAAAGATTATTATGGAAAAATAATGGGCTCAAGGAGATAAAAATTGACCAAGTTATGATGATTTGAAGCAAACCCTAAAATTCAAAGGCCTTTCAAGGAGACTTGTAATCTTTCTCCACTTTTAGTGATCTTCCATTCAAAATTAGCCTTATACTTCTGAAGCGAGATTGTTAAGAACCCTTTAAAGAAAATCATGGCTTTGGAACAACTCAAAAATCTAAAAAAATGAGCAAGATATGGTCCTTAGAAGTCAATAAACCCTAACTCAAAGAGTGTCAAAATGACTTGAAACCCCTTTCAACTATTGATAATTTTTATTTCACATTTGGATCTTGTCATGTGAAGAGAGGCTGTTTTGATGATAATAAGAGTACATAGAAAAAATAACCAACTCAAAATGTTGAAAATTGAGAGAGTTATGCACTTGTAATCACCGAATCTAGCATTTTCTCAATTAGGTCAAACTTGTTGAATCAACCTTGAATCTTTTGGACTTTTTTATGGAAAAATAAAGCATGATGAATAATAAGAGGCCTTGAAATTATGTTGTATTGAAGAAAACTCAAAGATAGAGCTTAAGTCTCAATGAAGCTTGTTGAGGAAGGCATGTAAATAAACACATGAACCTATGAATCCTCTTAATGAGTTCCACCAATAACTTTTAGGAGATCTTGACTTAAATAAAGTGAGAGAGCTTCTTGAACCATAATTATTTGATGCCATAAACATGACCTTGATGATTTAACTCTTGCAATACATTAGAGAACCATTTGATTGAGGATCACCCCTCAAACCCTAGATTAGATGGTGAGATGAATGCACTGGTGATCACCTAAAATATGAACATTCAAAGAGACATATATACACATATTAATGTTAGTTAAAGGAACACTTGTACACGTACAAGGTACATAATTGAAGGTGCTTCGTAATCCCTCAATAGAAAACTTAAATACAGGATAGTATAAAGAGAGAACCAACCCTAATGTGTGTGTCTTGATGCATTGTGAAATGACATGGTGAGAAATCTTAGGGGGAAAAATTAGGGTATAACAGTTGCCCTCATTTAAGTGTCTTCTATCCGGAGATACAAAGGTTAAAATCTTCATCTTGACGCGATAGAAGATACTTAAATACAAAAGAAAGCCTATTTTTGGCCGTAATATGCCATGAAATGCTTATGATTATGAATGCAAACAAATAACTCTAAAGGTGACACAAAACACTAATGGGTAACCAGAAGATAAAACAATAGATCAAAAAGAGAGTCCAACCAGGAAAATAAATCATTGGGGGATAGAAGACTCAACTCTACTGGGGTAAATCCCAAAGAGGAGATAAGGCAAAACTAACTCAAATAATGAGGGAAGAAATGGATGACAATGATCGACAGATAACTGCAGACTACCCACCTCTAAAGGGGATAGAAAAAAAGTAACGTCTCCTCACCGAGAATCAAAAATTAACGATCCAAAATATGCCAACAACGAACTATCTCCCATAATGACGAGACTACCTTTCATCAGAGTACAAACATCTCAATAACAAACTATCTCCCATAATAACGAGACTACCATTCATTGGAGTACAAATCTTAACAACGAACTATCTCCCATAATGACGAGACTAACATCTGTAGCGGTGAAAATCAGAGATCAAGCTATTAATTAACTTGACTCGCAAATAAGCAAGAGTCACCATCACACTTTATTATTTCCAAGTAAAAAGGGAAAAGTTCAAAATAAAACCCATAAATATGCAAAGTAAGTGCAATACTAAAAGTAAAGAAAAAATACAATGCATTTGAAAGAGATCGAAGGTTCGGGGGTTGGTTATATAAAAGGAAGGTGTTAGCACCAAATGAATATGCGGTACTCCGCAAGAACCTTTTGAAATATCTGTGCTCTTTTGTTAAAATATTGGTTTGCTTGCTAAATGAGTGTGGGTTTGAGATTTTGAAAATGCAACGACCTAATGTCGATGTCTTTGGCTTAAAAGAGTGTAAGTTTGAAAATTGAGTTTTTTGGGAGATTTGTCTTAAGATTAACAAAATTAAAGATGGATGAAGGGATTCGCACAATCATATAAGATACGCTCAATGACATTAAGTCAATGAATTAATCATTTCATTTGGATTTAGACACACAAACAAAGGTATAAAGACTAAATAATAGAAAAGAGAAATTAAAAAATAGCAATTAAATAGCTAAATAATAAACAACCAAAAGTAAGTTAAAAGAAAAACAAAAATTATACTAATATATAAATATATTATTATTTTTTAATGAGGGCAATAAAGAAGTAATTATAAACCTAATATAATATTTTTTTTGTATTTTTCTTGTACGAACTTTAAATATAATAGGCTCAAAAATAAAAGAGAAATACTTAAAACTAAAACTCAAGGATTGAACTCAGGTCCTTTAGGCTACCACTCTCCTTCATGGCCACTAAGCCATGTTCACTTTTCTGTTATATACACACCTTAGTTAAAATAAAAAGAGTTTGAGTTAAAAGGGGATAAAAAGCAGAATAATGATAAATGTGTCTCAATGGGTCTAGAACCCAGGACCTCAAGCATAGAAGACTAACGCCCCAACCACTTCACCAAGTTGTTCATTCGTTATATACATTTAATAAAAAACTATAAAAAGTTAAAACTGACAAAGGGGTTGTGCTAAAAATTCAAGCCCCAACCCGGATCCACTTTAGAGGGAATAAAGAGGGTTTTTTGAAACCCTAATTGAAGATGAAGAGGTGCCGTGGATCTTGAATTTGGGAAGGGAAGAAGTTTAATCATCATTTTTTTATTATATGTTAATTGTTATCATTAGAACTAAATTATTTCGTTTGATTCCCTATAAACAGTAATTGAAGCATACTTTTAGAAAAATGGAAAATATTAATCATGAACCCTTCTCTCACAAAAAACTGAATCTCTCGCCTATTCTCTCAAAACACGCCCTCCATCTCTCTGTTCTTGCCTTAATCTTTTATCTCCCTTACTCCTCACGACTTTGCTTCTGTATGATTTCTCACAATTTTTCAACACTCAGCCTTCATCTCAAAATGTTTCTGTTCAACACCTCTCACTCTCTCAATCGATATACTTCCTCTGTTCACAAGATACTTCCTCCGAAAACTCTCTTAAACGCCAATCATCCTCCATGCTCATCCCCTTCCCCTCGATTTCAAACGCCAACCACCATTTTCTCAAGCTTCTCCGATCAGGCTTTTGCCATGATTCATGACTTCATGTTCTCAGTAGCTTTGATTCTTAAGCTTAGCTCAATTCTCTGCCGCATTTCAGTTTCAGTTACGAGTTCATTTTTGCAATTCAAATAGTCCAAAAGAAAAAAATAAAAATAAAATAATAATGGAGGAGGTTGAAGAGAAATCAACAAGAGCTCTGTAAAATCAGGTACGCATCATTCAGCCTCTTTTTCTTTGCGTTTCTGGTTCTGCACTGTTGTTGAAAAGTTGGTGATGAAAACTTCAGTTGCAGGTTTGTTGTTATCTGCTTCAGTGATGATTAACCAAGTTGAAGCTTGGAGAAAGATTTCTGCTAAATTTATGGAGAGTTTTCTTACTGAATTTTTTTATCTTTCCCATTGGAATAAAGCCAACAAGCTAAGAGTAAGAAGCTCAGAGCTAGTCCGAGGGTTCCAACATCGATGACGGTAAGCTAACTTTTTTCTCTTTTTCTGTTGCTTCTGGAATTCGGGAAAATAAATGTTGCTTTGCTACCTATATTATCTTTCTAAATCAAGTTCATGGTCTGGAAATTGCAGGTAGCTGCGAGTTTATGGAGTAGTTTCTGTATACTGTGATTACAGTTTGATGAAACTTTTAGTAGAAAAAGTTTGGACTTTTGAATTTATGCAGAGCCTAATAATTGTTTTCCTAATGAAAATTCAGGGAAGTTTAAGGGTATGAAACAAATTTTCTTCTGTTTTTCTGTGTTGAAATACATGAGAGATGAAGTCTTTTTTTCTTCACCCCTTCTCTGTTATATTTCTCCTCTTATATATATCAGTTTGGGGTCGTTTTGGGGTGAAAAACACAAGAAGGGGGGGTTGAATTGTAAAACTGAAATCTTAAAGAAATTGACAAGATATTTTTATCCTGGTTCGTTTGATCTCAAACTACTCCAGTCCACCCGTCAAGGTGATTTCGCCTCTCTCTAACGAGGTCTTAATTCACTATATTCAACTGAATATTACAGACTGCTTTAACAACTGCTAAAGCCTTCTTGATTCAAACCACAATCCGGTTTGTCAAGGCAACACTTTCTTACAAAGGTATAAAACAATGTGTGTGAATGTTTTCTACAAAACTTTATCACAACTGTGATGTATACACAAAATGAAGCTTAGAAACTAGATTGCTAAACAATAATGAATATCAGAGTTTAGTTTAGAAAAACTGGTAGAGTGAAGATAATGGTTCAGCTTTGTGCGTGTAGAGATTTGGAGAGCATTAGCCATTATAATCTTCGAAGCCTTGTTTATATAGCACTTGAGAAGATGAACGTTGAATGCAATATTCTTGATTCAATGCTAATAACAAGCTTTCCTTTTTGAGCAGATCTTGTCTAGAATGAGGCCGTTGGTATTGATTAGCTTTCAATGCACAGTACCGTTGCTTCTTCAATGCACGTTCTGGCTTGGCTCATTCTGATTCTGCTTCGCTGCTGATGAACTATTGTGTTTCTGTATCAGAGTGTTTACGCGCAGTTCTGTTCATCAAGCTTCAGCATGTACGTGAGTTGATCATCTGATCTTGACGTTCTGATTCAGCAACTTCTGATGCTGGTGTATGAAATCAAATTCTGATGCTGAAGAAGTGATCTTGCTTATTTTAATCAGCGTATCTGCAAGTCAGAGCATAGTAATTTTAGGCAACATATAGTTCAAACATGAAACATATAAATACTATATCTTTTCACTTTGTTATCATCAAAACTCAAATATAGGGTAGTAGATTCAAACATTGTTCTAACAATCTCCCCCTTTTTGATGATGACAAAAACTAGATATTTTAAATGAAAAATAACGTGAAAAGGTATCTGAATATGTATCAGAATAAGAAGTACGGAAAAATCAGAGTTAAGAGATACTCCCCCTGAGTTGATTACTTCCCTTTGATGATACGTGTTCTTCAGGATCAGATCTTTTTCTTTCTTTGAACATCAGATTATAAGAGTCTTTGACTTATCAGAGAGCAGAGCTTCAGAGCTTTTCCTGTCAGAGCTTTGCTTTGGATCAGAGTATTTGGTCGATCAGAACTTCATATTTGATCAGAGCAACATTGATCAGAGCTTCTACATTTTGATCAGAGCTTCTAGTCTTCATAGTGTTCAGGAGCTTCCTTGTGCCTGTAGACTTAAAACAAAACGGAAAAACATTTCAAGTAATAGAGTTAGAATGTTTGAGAATTTCTGTTTAGTTAGCCGTTATTGATTTTAAATATCATTCTTGTTCTCCCCCTTTTTGTCAGCAATCAAAAAGTGTTGGTGATGTGCTAAAACAATTTAGATCAGAAAAACAAATTATATTAAGATAGTTCATAATCAGAGCAAAAGAACATTACAAAACATAGTCAAAACAGTACATCAGAAAATGAAGAAAACATAGAGAATGTCATGCATGAAAAAATTTCAAGGTTGAGGGGGCATGCGTGAGAACAGGCTTTCCAGCATTGCTTGAATCTTTTCAGAAGTTTCATTCTGCTTCTGAACCATGTTGACAACAGTGTCAATCTTGCTGTCCTGTACATCCATTCTTGCCTTCATCTTCTGATCATTCTCTTCCATCCGCTGTTGTAGACGCAAGCCATTCAGCCTTAATTCTTCCAGAGCCTGCCTGTCCAAGGCAGCTTGAGAAGTATCAGAAGGAGGAAGCTTCTCAGAACTTTCAGCGACATCTTCTGCTTGACTTTCAGCCTGAATGGTCTTGTCTTCTTCTGATGGTTGCACCTGTGCAGCTTGCTGTTTCTCCAACCAAGGTTCACTGTCCAGAGGAAGCACAACTTCTTGAGGCAGCTGACTTTCAACTTCCTTCAGCAGCTTGCTGAAGTTCTGTTGAGCCTGCTCATAGTTGACGTCCTGCAGCTTGAGGGCTTCAGCACGTACCCATAGTCTGAACTGTGACCAGAGCTGATCAGAAGCAGCTGGGTCAATCATCCCAGGACAGACTTGCTTCAAAGAAGCAATCCATTGCAGCATACCTGTTTCAAAATTAAAAATACCAGAGCCAACATCTGGTTGCTTTGGTTTTGGGATAGCAATTTTGTGTCTTAGATCAGCAAGACGTTCAAGACTGGTTAAGTCAATGAAGATCCTGCTGGGGTTTTCAGAGGATTGGTTTTCAGATGTTTGCTGAGATGCTGTTTGTTTTGGAGGAGGGGTATCAGAGTCAGATATTTCGATTGGAGTGGTAGGAGTTTTTGGAGGTGTCGATTCTAATGAGGATGGCAACTGGGGCCTGACGATAGTGGTTCCACATGGCAACTGGATTGCCAACGGTGAAGGTTGAGGTGAGTGAGGGTCAGAATGATGAGGAGAAGGGGTTTCATAGTGGTGAAACTCTGTTTGTGGTGAAGGTGGATTATTTTCTGGTTGAGGAGGTGGAATCTCTGATTGCTCAGGGATCAGAGGTTCTTCTGTGAGTGGTTGTTGTTGTTGTGGTTCTGGTTCTGGTTGTTGTTCTTGTTGTGGTTCTGGAGGAGGAATATTTTGTGGTTCAGAATTTGGTTGAGCAGAAGCATGTTCACGCTCAATATCAGCTAGCACTCGATCAAGTGCTGGTGTTGTTGAAACAGTTGGTTGTTTGGGAATCTTAGTTCTGGTTCTTCTGAGTTGTAAGGCCTCAGAAGGGTCTTCTGGTATGGTTTCATCAATGGTAGGGATTGGGATTGATATTCTGTGAGAGGTTTGAGGAGGGGCAGCAGATGTTGGAATAGTAGATGAAATTGAAATAGGGGCAGCAGATGAAATACCTCTTTTCTTTGGAGTCTGATGAGATGATCCTTCTGCTGGTGCTTTCCTCTTCTTTGTCTTCTTCTGAGTCACTTCAGGTTGGGGTTGACTCAGATCTTTGATCTTCAGCTTTGAACCTGTATCTTCTTCCTTGTATGAATCTGGATACTTGAGAAACATCTCTGGTTTGGATTCCATTTCAGAAAATATTGGAAAATCAGTCAGAGGCACTCTTCTGCTGGAGATATCAGCAGTTGAAGTAGCTCTGGGTTCCTTCTTAATATTTTCTATCAGCTTCATCTTTTTCAGGTTCTTAGCGTTCAGCGGTTTTCCAACAGTTGGTTCAATAGTGCTCAGCACTTGAGCTTCGCTCAGATACTCTATCAGCTTATTCTCTGTCAGAATATCTGATATGAGCCTTCCAAACGGTATCCAGTCCCTTTTGGTCCTTTCTTCTTCTCTTGTTTCTTTGACACTGGTCTTGAGATGGTTGAACAGGAAGTGTGCCAGATTGATCTTTACCCTCTGATCAATAAAGTAGATCAGAAATTGCTGATCCACGTTTATATAATCAGGAGAACTTGTTGGTTTCCTGTGGTTGAAGCATCCCAGAACAATCTTGGCCCATACTCTGCAGTGATCCTTCAGATCCTTAATTTTGCTGCTGGGCAATCCAAGAGTGAAAATTCTGTTGGCTACCACACCTACATCAGGGCATCTTTCAGCCATGTCCACACAACGGACTCCACCACCACTTTGACCGATTAGCCTACCAATGAGGTCTTCAGAAATCACGATCTTCTTTCCCATGACAGAAGAGATGACTAGATGTTTAGAAATCTTGGCGTGAATCCAAAATTCCTTGACAAGCGCTGGGAATGTTGGTCCAACCAACCTATCGAAATACCTCTCCCACTTTTGAGCCCTAATTTCTTCAGTTAGGTCAAATCCATTTTCCTTCAAACTTTCAAAGTCGATGATTAACTCAGAGAGAACTTCAAGGTTCTTTACCGGTGTGAGAAGAGTTCTGAGGGGCACCTGATATTGTTCAGAGGTTTCTTTCTTCTGATTGCCTGCAGAAATGCTGGAGGATGCCATTGTTCTCACTAAAAAAGCTTTGAGAATGATTTGAGAGAAAAAGGTTTGTAGGAGATAAACTCAGAAATATGCAGAAAATACTTGAATGATTATGAGAAAGCGTAAAGAATAAAAATGAAGGATTAATGTGCTTAAATAGAGTTTTCAAAAATTATTTTGAAAAATTAAACGTTTTTAAGAGAGAGAAAAAAAATAATGATTGCCATTTAACAAGCGTGATTACTTTTCATTAAATGCTTGCTGATTTTGGGGGATTTGAGAAAGATAC